AAATTGCTTTGCTCAATAATAAAACAAATTCTGTTGTTCAAAAATGCTTAATTTACTCCAGCGGGAAATTAAATGTTATAACTTAAATGATCCAAGTATCTTCAATGAATCGTGGAAGGATCTCTGGTAGCAGTCAGTGTCTAAACAAATCCAAAAAGGCTTCTGCCCGAAGACTGTTGCTGTGTGACAGTCTCATGACTATCATGATATTCCTCACCAGCACCATCAGTCGTTTGCAGTCACTGCTAACCCACCTCATTTGCCTTTGCCACTCCCCTTTAAATTGTCTGCACGGAGATTTTATGCAACTGTGGACATTTATGATGCTGGTTACAGTAAAGCGTAGCACTTCCACGTAATTTTAGTTGTAGCTCTCAAAACGTGCCACAGCCTGGCACAGATTAAATGTCGGCTTTAGGGAGGGGTTGCCGCTGCATGCCACTGTTAAGAAGGAAGCTATATCGGATTTGTGAGGCAAGACAAAACAAGAGCAACGTTGCAAAACAGCATTTAGAAGAACATCTCGTTTTTGTTGTTTTTAATAACCTGTGAAAAACCAAAATCGTAATTAGGAAAAACTGGATTAACTCGTGTCGTAGACGGAACGTTTTGTCTCCTGATGTCGATTGCCTCACATTCACTGGTTCTGGGTTGTTTTATTTTCCATACAAGCAGAGAAAACTCCTAGTCGGGTTCAGTGAACCAAAACCCTGCTATTAAAGTTTTCTGTTTGCATTTGCATAGTACAAACTTTACCCCATGAATCTGAGTTTGTCTTCTCTCTGTCTGTGTTTCTGCAGGGAAGCAGAGACAACATGAGCGTGGTGTTGGTGTGTTTGCCCGGAGCGCCTAAGATCTCAGAGGAGGCCATGAAAAAAGAAGAAGAATTGGATAAATATCTAGAAACGCGTGTTGAGGGTCAGCATTTCAAACACACTCGTCCGCAGAGATGCACGTTATTTTGAATTGCACTTGTTTTAAGCCGCTCTACTAATCATTGCTCAGTCATCTAAAAGAAAAATATAGCAACAAAGTGACAATTCATATAATTGAATACATCTTTAACAACTTTAAATAAAAGGTATTGATTTAATTACCGTCTTACGTCACACACAGAAACTCATCTGCCAGCTATGTAACTCCACAATGCGCTCCGCGATCCGTCTGTTGCGACGGGGATTTTCCTGTTTGTCCGTAAAGCTACGCTTACGTCAGTCCACTACAGCGCAGCCGCCCGCAGTGGTCAGCCTGTCCGCTCACCTCTTCCCCGCCGTTCGCGCTGAACCAGGAGGAGAAAGGCTGCTGTACCCCAAGCATCGCGTCAGTCAACTTAAAGATGCTTATTCATCCCCTGAAAAGCAACAAAAACCCAGATATTATCATCAATCGATAAATTCCTCCCAGACCAAACTGAAAAAAAGTGAACGTTCTGCTGCTAGCACTTAGCAACAACTCATAGGCGGACGTGACGGCGTTGCCCAACACAAGTAATGACCCGTCCGGAACACGGTGCGCTAAATAATAAAACATAATTTAACGAAGATTCGAGGCGGATAAATTTTCCTTGAGGAATTTTAATAATCGAGGTAATCGCATCATTCGAGGAATCGCTGCAGCAGAATAAGAACATTCTGCTTAGAAATTTTGAGCTGATGGCGTTTAAACTGAAATAAGTAAAATTGTATAAGATCAGCCTTCTATACCAAACTTCACAGGCAGCAAGTGTTTTTCTAAACATCAATTTAGCACAGTCACACTTTTGTGAGTGTACAACCAATTTCTTTCTCTTATTGTTTTATTAATTGATTAGCCTTCACGGGGGCTAAATCGTACACCTGACTTGTGTGATATAACCTCAGCAAAATGACCACAACATCTGGCCTTACTGTGTCCAATCTGCTGCTTTTGCTTGCAGAGCTGCTGGGAAGCTGTGGGGAGGACGGAGTCCCTGACCTGGTGTCTGTCCTAAGGAATATCGCCTCAGAAAACATCCCCAACCTTCCGCCTGGTGGAGGCCTGGCCAGCAAGTAAATATAACTGAGCTGCATGTTACGAACACACACATCAGATCAGGAGTAGACGCAGCCTTGACTGTCCACGTTTTAGGTTTGATTACTTAGAAAATTGGCCTCAAATTGATGAATAAACAATGAAATTCTCTACACTTTTCAAAACACCAGCTGGCAAATATCGATGTATTTCTGCTAATGCATCCAGTTAATAATACATCTATAGAATAGGCCTGTCACAGTAAACAATAAACCATTTAATCGCAATCGTTTTCTTTTGCTTGATTTATTGTTCATCTCTTTTCTCTTTCTTTTTACCAAAAACTGGATGATAAAAGTCTTCAGTCTGGTGGTTTGGTTTCAACTAGCCCTTCTTTGAAAGAAATTTTGTATACAAAGACTTCATAATTCACTTTATTTGTTGTTTTACATTGTTTTCTTTATTTATTTTGGATATTTAAAATGTCTTCGAGTTCAATCTTTAAACATTTATTAGAATTTAAAGGTTACTGATCCTTGAGAATGTGTTCTTATTATTGTGCTATATTACTTGAAAATGGTCTCAAAACAATATCGTCATTTATTGCAATAACTTCTGGGACAATTTGTCATCTGGCAAAATTTATCGTGACAAGCCTACTATGGAATTATTGCTAATATTTTGTTCGATATTAACAAAACAAGCAACAAGCAAATGCAGAAGTGCTTTTTTTCCCTCAAGGAATCTATTAAATTAATTTGTGTTCAATCAAAATTGGTGATTTTCAGCATTTGAAATGATTAAATCCCGATTGATAAATCTGTGAATATGAGCTCCTACAGAAGAAAACTCGTTTTAGAAGTTACAGATGTTGAGTGGGAATGTATTTTTATGTATATGCTGGATTATTTTTTTGTGATAGCACAACACAAAGTAGCGTAGAACGTTGAAGAGGAAGAAAAATATGTATAATTTTCCACTTTTTTCGTGAATAAAAGTCTGAGAAGTGTGGTGTGCATCTATATTCTCCCCACCTGAACCAACGCGTTGCCTTCCACTTCAAAATTAAGCTCTACCTTGTGCTGGTTTATCACAAAACATCCATTGAAGTCTGAGGTTTCAACCTGAAAAAAGTGTTTAAAAAAATGCAAAGGATGTTTAAAACTGATGGTTTTGCATCAGCATGTTGATGATTTAGGTAAAAAGTGAAGCGATAAACAGATAAACAAGGTGGTTGTCGTTCTGAGCAGAACACGGGCCAAAAGCGACGTGGCTCCGCATTTTCAACTGAGAGTTTTACTTCCATTAACCTCTCAATCAATACACATTAGTGAAGAACGAACAGAGGCTGCATTATGTTGGGTGACGTTCTTCCCCACGGACCAATGTGTGTGTGCTTGTTTTCTGTCTGCAGACGCAGTGTTATCGAGGCGGTGTACAACAAACTGAACCCTCACAGAGAAGAGGAAGGGGTGAGTTTAATGTTTTCTAAATTACCTTCCAGCTCCACACCCCTCCAAACACACGCCCACACCCACACACACAAAACAGGACATCCATCTGTGTGCGAGTGTGTGCTGTGTGTTTGTGCTGCACTCTGAATGAGATTTGAGCAAAGATGGGTGAAATTAAATCATCCGTCTCGCTTCTATGATCAATATTGAAACAAAACGCGCACAAAGTCCTTTTGTAAGCCTTCTGAATTTTTCATTTAGAATCAACGTGAAAGTCGTGACACACTGAGCTGATGGTCGGTTGTTGGGAACACTGAATGTTTTTGCCGTTCGATTCATCATCGTCAGTCTTGTCGGACCAGCACGGTGTATTTAGAGTCTCTTAGCTCTCAGCTAAGTCCACAAAGCACAAAAAAAAAAATAAAATTCAAAGCAATAAACTGAAACTGCTTCTACCGGGGTGTAGCGGTGCAGATATTTGTGCTAAAAATGTTCTGTGCCTGCTCGGTAAGCGTCTTTAACCAGGAAATATGGAAATATGTTTTATTGTTTGTACGCGGAACTAAGTGCACTTTGCAAAAAGCAGCACCAAAACAAAACAGACAGTCCTCTCTGGGCTAACTAACCTTTAGCTAATGTTTAGCTCAGCTATGTGGGAATATTAAGGATTTTCATGCAGCTGCAGAGGAGAAAGAAAGTGAACTGAAACACAACTTTGTCAGCATGCACTTCTTGAATCAGCTAAAGTTCAAATCCAGCTTCATGGAGCATTCAGCCTGTCCAAAACGCTGCACAGCATACGAGACGCAGCAACTGACTTGTGCCGTTTCTAGACCTTCTGACCAGAAGGGATTTCTCAACAGCTTTATTTTTACGGCCCATTTAAGTACATCCAGTAAACTGAACTGTCTAAATATCAAAACAGCACTAAAGTGGTTTAGACTTGTTTTATTCTCAAATGTCTGCACAGTCGTATTAAAAAGAAATCGTAAACACTGTTGACCATTTTCAAATGGTTTTATTGTTATATAGTCAAAACAAATCTGTCAGTTTTGCAATGACCACCTTTTGTTTCTCTTGACTGATGCAAACCAAAAACATACAAAACTATGACTTTAAAACAAAAGTATGTATCAAACATGGATTTTTGTGTACTGGTTCACCATGAGTTATATCCAACTTCGCTGAAAACATGTTGTATATTTAAGAAAATTAATTTCTGATAACTTTACTTCAGTCAATTAGAGATTTAGTTGTGTTTTTATCAACACGAAGCATGTGGTGACAGTAGGAAGCCTCTATTCTAACAGGAAGAAATCTGCAGCATAAACCTTCATCTGCAGTTGAAAGAGGGGAATGAGACAGAAAAAAAAACCATGCAGGACTATTTGTGGTCCAGCAATGCCTGTGTCAAAAATAAAAAAGAACACAGGAGTGCTTTTTATGAAAAAGTTGAGTTAAAAGCAGAGGTAGGAAGCAGACATGGGTAAACATGGACGCCAGCAGTACTTCCTGTGAGGGTAAACAAAGAGTGTAATCAGTTAATTGGAGCAATGTCTCTGTTATTGACTTCACCCAGGAAATAGACATGGATAAACACTGAACCATTAGACCAGGTGTGTTTTCTATCCAAAGGAAAAAACTGATGAGAATGACAGAAAATATTTCCAAGACACATTCTGTCTCCTAAAAGAGTCGGTGTGTGACAGCTTGAGGTTTAAATTATCTTCTGGCGTTTTGATTATAACATTTTTTCATGTTCTAATGGTTATATTGAAACGAAGCAGAAGTAAAAAGAACGTCTCGTTTTTAATTTGTAAAATTAGATGTCGTTTGGGTCAACTTTATTGTAACATACAACATGCAAAATCTACATTTATTGTGTAATGCATTTCACTAAATTAGTGAAACAAATCAGTTAATTTATGTTAGTCCATTTCACACATCACATTTATTTCTGTTATTCTAACTTTGACTTTTAGCCAAAGAAAACACAAAATTCCTTTTCCCAGACACAAAAATATAGTTTTTTTTTTTTGTTGTTTTTTTATTCAGAACTGCTATGTTGTAGCATCAAGTGGAAAACCATCAGAGCAGCATATTAATGGAAAGTTTAGTGGAAGAAAAACTGCTTTGGAAAAAGTTGGACAATCTACAAAGACAATATGTTTTAGGTCTGGCCTCATCTAGCATGAATTACTGCATCAACGCTTCATCTTCCTCTTACGCATAAATTATCTTTGGGGTTTAGATCAGGCGTGTTTATTGGCCAGTGAACTTCTCTAAAGTTTCCTGACAAACGGCTGCACTGACTTTTCTTTGATAAGGCCAACGGCAGCTGGTGATGATTCGGTTCCCCAAAAATCTACTCTTCCTACAGACTTGACTAGGTTTTGCTTCACAATCCTGCTGGATGTGCACTTTTTTTCTACTTCAGTTTTTCCTTCCACTCAACCTTCTATTAATATACTTGGACACAGTGATCTGTGAACAGTCAACATGGAAGCTTGGAAGTTTGCTACTTTATTTTGAGTCGTATGAAAAGGGGAAAAATGCATATTATACATTGCAGCAAAAACACACATTCTTACCAAGTATTTTTATTTTTGTTTCTAGCGCAAATATCGTAGTAAACTTGAATTAAGACAAACTAATTTAAAAGTAACTTATCGTCAAGATATAGGAGCTTGTTTTAAGTATCTAATTCCTTAATATTGGCGGAAAAAATACTCGTACGTTAGTTTTGACTTATTTCAAGTGTAACAAGATATTTGCACTATAATTGAGTCCATATTTACTTGGTAAGATTTTGTGTTTTTACAATGTAATTAGTAAAAATGGATCAAAGAAAAATATACATATACATCCACTTACACACTGCAAAAACAGAAAATCTTACCAAGTATTTTTTCGTCTTGTTTCCAGTGCAAAAATCTTAGCATACTTTAAATAAGACAAATTAACTTCAAAGTAATTTTTTAACAATGTATAGAGGTTTGTTTTAAGTAAATAATTCCTTAATACTGATGCAAAAGTACTAGCTCAATTGGCAGATTGTTTCATTATAACATGACATTTTTCCCTGGTTATAAGTTAATTTATCTGCCAGTGCAACAGGTACTTTTTCATCATTATTAAGGAATTATTTGCTTTAAAAAGCCTCTATGTCTAGCTAAAAACTTGCTTCTAAGTTAGTAGATAAGATTTTCTGTTTTTGCAGTGCACGCAAATATTTACAATAAATTTTCTGAGTCGTCCAGTTCATGTTAAATATAATATATTTAAACATAAACAACAATGGCTTTAGCACGAAAAGCAGAAGAAGCTTTTTTTCAATTTTTGAATTGAATTAGTAAAACAAATGAACTTTTTGATGATATTTCGATGCACGTGTACAATCATTACATCGACGACTTCATTTCGATGAAAAGTGTGTGTGAAAAAAATCTTTTACTTTCCTCTGGGGTGCCCCCTCTCCCAGCTAAAGCTCGACACCGGGTCCGACCAAAAATCAGCTGTTGTGTGCCTGCTTGTTGGATGAAATGAATGCTCTTATGTGTTTGAACATGGAGGCTGTGTCTGACGCTGGCGTGTCGCCTCAGGGGGGAGGAGAGGAGGAGGAGGATAAGGAGGAGAGTGAGGAGGGAGGTGGCAGCACAGCAGCTCATCTGATGGAGGCTCTGCGGCAGTTCCGTCTCCACCACCGGGGGCAGTATCGCACAGTGCTGGAGGAGTCTCTGGCCGCCTACCATCTGCGAGGGGAGGGCACTGTCGAGGGCGCCGGGGAGATCAGGAGGACCTCTGATGACGGCGATGAAGAAGAGGAGCAGACCGACTCCCCGCGCTCGCCCCCGCCCTCGCCCGCTGCTGTGGAGGCGGAGGCCGGCCAAGATGCCCCAAAGCCTGATATCTCCTCTGACTGAGCGCGCAGCCAATCATCCACCCTCCTCCAGGGATGACCTCACTCCTCTTTCCCCAGCCACAGACCTTGACTAGGCAGATTGGCCATTGTTTTGTTAATTTTCTCACTAATTAGAAACATTTAATAATCATATTAAAATAAAAGCAGCCTTTCTGTGTATTCAAATTCTGTTTCCAACTCTCCACCGTTTAAAGAAGAGTCTGTTTCCTTGTTTTGTAGAAACCAGTCAACCGTAATATGTTGGTTGTTGCTGAAATCAAAGTGAAACTTCCCAGTGCTTACTTTGGGCTTACATTCTTCCTCCCTCCTCCTCTTCCTCTGCTCTCCTTCTCTTTCCCTCACTCCATGATTGACTCAGAACACACAGTTTGTCTCTTTGCACACCAGAAAATGAAATTATTATATGAATAAGTGAGTAAATGTAGCTCAGAGCGTCCGAACAAAAGCTTTAGGTGGAAAAAACGTGAAAACTGATTTGTTTGCAGATGCATTTTATGTGTTCGTAGATCTTATCTGCCCTCATCGACCTTTGACCTTCTCTTAATCCAAACTACCTGGAGGGCGAATGCAGATACCTGGTTAGAAGAAAAAAAACGAACAAAACAATTTACAACACATATAATGCCTTCAACATTTATTAGCACCCCTTGGTGAAGATGTGTTTAAAAGATTTAAAGTTTTTAGAAGGAAGTTTTTAATAAACCGCTTGGCTTTCTACTACATTTCATTAGATTGAAGCATTTAGAAAGATGCCCGTTCATTTTTGCACAACAATCATCCAGAAACTTTGGTCTTCTCTGATTTTCTCTCATCAGCTCTTCCCACCGGTTTTCTACAGGATTTGGGAGAAAAAGATTGATTTTGGATCGATATTCTGATTTAAAAAAAATTAATGACACATTTTCACTTTACGAGGAATGGAGTCCACCAGATTGTTATTTAGAAGGAAAACCAGACCCGCAGTATCACAGATCCCCCACTTTACTTAACAATCAGGATAAGTTAATTTTCTACGACGGCGTATTAGGGCCACATTAAGAAAATATTCACAAAAGATTACGAGAAGAAAATCTCACTTTCCTCTCATAAAGTCAAAATATGAGAATGAAGTTGTCGTATTACAAGAACAAAGTGGCAATATTATATTATTTCCATCCCTCTGTGCGTGGCCTAGCAGGCAGCCATTAAAAGAAACTACAGTGTGTCGTGTCATGTTTGTTCCCTAGTGCAACAAAAAGCTTTTGAGAAGTTCCTAGAAACTGTTCAACTTAAAGAAGGATAAAATAGAAATTTTTAGAGATTTTACCAATAAGTGTTAATAAATAAAAAGATAGTAACATGAATAGAGATTTTTCAGTTTGAGATTTAGCTGCTGTGCTGAAGTCTTGAGGGTTTTTAAACATCTTTATCAAGGTGGGTTAATAAATCTGGCTGCAAACATGAAACATGCTCTTGTGCAAATCTATGTCAGATAATGTATACAATCCCTCTCTGCTGATGTTGACATGTAAAGATAAAATTCATGTGAAAGACAGCTTTAGGTCGGTGCAAGATATTTACAAGCATGCAGTAACTCCTAACTCTCCATACATGAAGCATATTTCTCTCCAGGCCTTTCACTTCTGTAACTCCTCAGCACTGGACGCTTCATCTAAAATGTTTACTCTTCTTTAAATGCAGCTAGTCGGGGAGTTTTGTTTGTCCGGTAATGCACGCACTGCAATTATCCGCTCAAAAGCACTTAGCAATCTGAGGCAAGATTTATGCTAAAACCGTCTGTATGTGTGTGTTTATGAATCAGCTGTTTGTATGTGGGACCTAATGAGTCCTGCAAGAATGACACAATTATCAAATAAAAAGATTCAAAACGCACCGCTCTAGATTATTTGCATTTAAAGGGTGTTTGTATCAGTGTGTTGGACGTGTGGCCCTGCATCAGATCAGGCATCTTGTGCAGAATCTTGACTGATTCAGTAATTTGATGAAAATAACTCTGGGGGTTTGATGCAGGGCCTTTCCCTCGCTGTTTTACTGGTATTTTTCAGATTCCTTTTCTAGTTGAATGTGACTTAACTACGTGTTTTGTGTGGCTGTGTGTATCTAGTAGATATGGGCTAAAAATGCTGCTTTTATTCAAAACGGAAGAGCAAAAAATATTCCTAATGCTTCAAAACTGAAAAAACTCGATTATATTGTTCTCTGTTTAGATGATTTCTGGTTTTTTTTATGTCCGATTCACCAATTTTGAATCACTTTTGCTTTTTTTTTTTATTTCTCTCTAAGGTTCACAAATGTGTGATGCATTTGGGATTGTAGTTCTTAATTCAAACGCACATTGTTGGTTGATGCATTTAGAGACAGAAAATGGTGGCAGTTCTGAGTTTTTCAGCAAAAAATATAGAAAAAACGTGTTCAACTCATAAAACCACATTTATAAAAAAAGACTGCATGGATTTATTTGGTTTGTTTTCCCAAAGGTGCTTTAATATTTATTATTGGCTAAAAAAAAAGAGAAGAACAAAAACTTAAGGATATACCGATAGGAAATTTTATGTAGCACATTTACAACAACCTCAGCCGACCAAAGTGCTTCACAACATCACAGGCTGATAAATGATGCAACAAAATATAAAATTAAGTTTGGTAAAAAATATTAAGACAATTGTAAAAATTGGCAGAAAATACCAAAAACTAATATGAATAAAATTAGGACGTACTTAAGTTCACTTGTAGCAATATGTCAAAAAAAAAAAAAGTCGAATGAGTGAAGTATCAGTATCCCCCTTTTTTTTTTTTTTACTTATATTTGCTGATAACCGAGATTTACGGATTCTATGTATAAAAAAATTTAAATTTGTGTAACTCATAAATTCCAAAATTTTGTTAGGAATTTCTCCAATCAAGTCTTTTCTAGAATATTGTAGCAAATTTAAGATTTTTTTTTTTTTTTTTTAGAAATTTACACACACACACACACACACAAATCTAGAAAATTTGTGAGGAAAAATATCACATTTTCAGAGGGTTTTTTTTTTTCTAGCAAATTTTCGACTTTCTGGAAATTTGCTGAATTTTGTGTTGCAAATTTTTGACTTCTCAAACTCGGAAATTTTCTTTAAAAAAAATTCTAGAAAATTTCTGAGAAAAATTAAGAAATTTCTAAGTTAATTTTTTTCTAGAAAATGAGTTTTTTTTTCCCTTTATTTTTTTAATTTTGGTGGAAATTTACTTTTTTTTCTCTGTCTCTTCCATCTACAATGACCCTAAAACGACGCCGTAGTTTCCCTAGTATGTCTTTAAAAATACTTTAAACTCAATGGTAGCCTGCGCTCCGTTCTTAGCATCTAGATGGTAAACCTTGCAGGTAAAACTCTCTCCAGTTTCCTCCAGTCCCTCCCCGTTTCTTTTCCCAGTCTGACAGTTCTGATTCTCTGTAAGGTGAGTCAACTGAGGTTCTGGATGTGTTGGGGGATAATCTCCAAATATGAAGTAGAAAGATAAACAATAGGTTTTTGAGTTTAGTAGAATGAGTCCTGGCTGCAGTGACAAACCTAACGTTTGTCTTTCTTCCTGTCTTTTCTGTTTTTGGTCCGAACCCAGAGTGCCGTCGACCTGGACGACCCGTATTAGCCGCGTCAGCACCTTTGCCGTCTCTTCCCGGTGATCCGAGCATCCACCAGGAGGAGGCTCGTCTCTCCATTGCGCCGTGTCTTTCTCCACTAAAAAGACGACATGCAGCGTGTGCTGGAATGCGTGTGTATGTGTTGGTTGTGCATTTGTGTGTGAGTGTGTGCGTGGGTGCGTGCGTGTGTTTTTTTTTCGCAGAAGCGGGACACAAAAAAAAAAAAAGAAAAATTACAACCGAACACACACACAACTGCTTGAAACCCCCCTTGGAGGAAAAACTGAATCACTCTTCAACAACAACAACAACAAAAAAAGAAAAAAATTGTATAGATTTCACAAACTGAAGCGTTTTGACGGTAGAAACTGATTTTTACCGTTAGACTTTTTTTTGTTTTTGTTTTCCTGAATGTTGAACACCTGACGTCACAATGATATGAGGACCTATTGTGCGCATGTTTTTTTTTTTTTGTTTTTTTTTTCTGTGAGCGTGTGTTTGTCGCAGAGAGGGTGTGTGTGTATGTGTGTGTCTGTGTGTGTGCATGTGGGAGTGTTTAACTGAGGGCCAAGAGGACACACACGACGGATAAAGACTTTATGTAATTCTTCACATTTTTTTGTGCTCTAACACCCTTTTGCTTCTTCCCTCTATTAAAAAAAACCACACACACTCTTTCTCACACACACACACACACACCCTTCGCCCGCATCACTTCCACCTGTGCAGGTATAAATAACGTGCCACCGGCGCAGGGCACTGCATGAGGACTTGGGTTGTACGTGTACAGCTACGCGGTTTTCTAATCATCATCCTCAGCGGACAGTCATTGGTCGAGGCTGACTGAACCTGGAAGCTCTCTGGACTCTGATTGGCTGCGTGAGAATTGATTTGGATTTTATTTTTGCTGATCGAATTAGGACAAGATGACGATAATCATGGTGGGGAAGGAGCAGGGAGTGAAAGAGCGGATGTTGTAACACTGGTTGGACTTCCTCGACATCGTCTGAGACGCAGCAGTCTATCCTGACGGAGGAGGAAAAGGCTTTCTTTCTTTAATTTTTTTTTTTATTTTTAAATGTTGCCCATGAGGTTACTAGTTGCTCGCTGTGTAGAGTGAGTGAACTCCCAGTTTTAACCCTGTTCCTGGTTCTCAGACTGCATTGGTAATGTTTGTATTGCTGTTGTTTGATTGCACTCACATTTGATTACAGAAAAGCGTCTATATATGAAATAAAATACCTGCCAAGGACACAGCGGAGGTGGTTGTGTATTTGAATGCAAGAAGGAACGTCTCCTTTGGGAAGCTCAATCAGTTCATAATTTATAGAAAAGTTGCATCAGTAAATCAAATAAAAAAATTAAACTTCACTACACACAGTGATTCATATCAAGACTTTATTTTTGTTCGCTAATGAAAACCCAAATTTCAGTTCCTCAAAAGAATTTAAAAATGATGTAGCAGCAATTTAAAACTATGTAACGTTTATGGAAATTTTTTTTTTTTTTTACGTATTTGTTGAAACTGTCACTATATGAAACAAAATATGTGAAAAAAATGAATGCCTTCTTCCAGCGCTCCCAGTTCTAACTAGAAACAACCAATCAGAGGTTCTGATTCATTACAGGCTGTTTCTCCTGTACACAAGTATGATTGACAGCGATAAGTCCCTCCTCCTGGCTCTGATTGGTTGATTTTGATCTGGAGCGACACATTTCTTCAAACTGCAGTGTTAAAGATCGATCTTTTCACAAATTATCTGTCTCATAACATACAGTCACTACATGGTGACAGTTTTAATGAATATATAAAAAAACATTTTAATAAAAGTTACACACTGCAGCTTTAATAAAATAATACAGCAACGTTTTGACCTTCACATCATGTGGAAGACTAACGAAATATTTATTTGTGGAAAACATTGTAGAAGGAAAAAGTGTGAAAAAGGCAGCACCAACTTGTGGAATGACTTTACACAGGCTGCTCATTCTGGAAAACTGATTAATTAGAAAATAAAACTTAAAGGATTCATTGCCAGTCATGACAAATGTTTTTTTAACAATCTGAAACAGTCGAGCACGACAGAAAAGCAAAAACGGAACAAAATGTAATCTGTAAAGCGTTTTTTATGGACTGCAGAAGTCATTTTTAATCCTGCTGTAATGTTAGGAAACAAAAAAAGCTGAAAGTTGAAGCAATGTTCAGAATTCGGGTTAAACATAGAATGGGAATGCTGTAAAAATGAAACATCCAAGTTCCCAAACAGAAGACATACAATTCCTGAAAATGAACCATTTCAACATTTGAAAACGTCTCTTGCTCTTTTATTTTATTCTGAATTCAGCATTTTGTTTCTGATTGTCAAAGAAAAATTATTTAATGTTTCTGTCATAAAAGCAACCATTAGGGAGCATAAGTGGGTTTACCGAGGTCGCTTTGTGCTAAAGAAATTTGCTAGTAATGATCAGAAAACTTGAGCTCTGCTCACATAAACACATATTATGTTTAATCTGTCACTCTGTCATAATTTGATCCTAATCCCTAATCATAATCGCATCGTATCTTAAAGGTGTTCTCAATCTGGTGTGGGATTATTCGGGGTGTGTGTGTGTGTGTGTGTGTGTGTTGGAGTGAGAATGAGCAATCCAAATATATCATGACGGGCAAATTTAATTTGATGATAGCAGGCAGGGGGACGCATCGCGCCCGCTGAGCCTCCGTTAAGCTGCGGCTTGTAACAAAACAATACACGGGCACTGACCTGGTAAAAGTGTGTTTAGGTTTTGTTCATCTTTAATCTCTTTCACTTTAATTTGTTTTCCTACAGGAACTACAGGAGTAAACAAAACAAGTTGTGTTCAAGAGGTACAGGTCTGCTCTCCCTTATCAGACATGCCAGCTTGGAGGGTGATCTAATTCCCCCTCAGCAGCTGATGAGATGCTGGGATTATAATACATTTTCTACCTCTAAATTCTGCCTTCTTTTTTTTTTTTCAAATAAATGTTCAACTAGTGCTTACAAAGTAGAACAGGAAGATTTAGCATGATTTGTGCAGGAGAAGTAAACAGAAATAACTGAATCAGTGAGTCTGTCCTGTAAAAACAAGCAAGAAATCCAGCATTTCTGGCTGCATTTTATACCAATTATTACTCTTTGCAACTATATATATATATATATATATATATATATATATATATATATATATATATATATATATATAATTCCTCAATCTATAAGAATTGAGGAAT